TGCGGGAGTGGTCGAAAACATTCATCAAAATCGTGAATATACAGTATTATCATGACTTTTAGGCAGTGTTTACAAAATGGGTCAAGATTTATGAATTATGCAACTTGCCCGTACTCGTCAAAAAACTGACGCATGCGCACAACCGGTGTTCCCGTTTAACACAGACGGAAACAGCGGTGGGGGTGCACTGAACTTATTGAAGCCCCATTGAAGACCATGTAAAACCGACCACGTTTGCAGCCCCGGTGCGGGCAACCGAAGTCCCTCAGGCCTCTCAAACAAAAAACAAAGTGTTCTGGGGTCATTCAGCTCTCAATTGATTTTCAATTTTTAGTAGGTTAACCAATGAAATGTTTAATTATCCATCCAAAACAAACTCACCTTCCAAAAAGTGAACGTTCCCAAGTCTGTCAGCGGCCATTTTTCAAATTACATCCCTCCACCTTTTTCAGGCTCTTGGGACAATTTTTCAGTGGCATTTTTCTATGTTTCGCCCTGGGATGGGAGCCCTTGAATCTAGGGACTTCATTCTGGGCCTATTTTCTCACAATCCCACAAATTCTTGGGCCACACAATCTCCTCTTTTCCAAATAATCTGTAGGGGTACTTTTTGAGCGCCTCCGCCAGCTGAAGAATCTCCGTTAAATTGGGCAGTGCACCCCTAGCTCGTCGGTCAGGTGCGGCGGACCAAACCCTTGTTGCGAGAGCGGAACCTAACGCAGTGCGGCGGTTGGACCCTTTCTGAGAGAAGTGCGATAGTAACCATTCTTATGGTGAAGAAATGTAATCATATGAATGGCCCTTATGCATGGTCAGCTAGCTTAGCTTGGACCTATGCGAGAGCGGTACAATTTAGCCCAGGGTACTAGGGAGAGTCGTAGCGGCCCATCACCGCTACGTCCGCACCGATTGCCGGGCGAGACACCCTCGTGTCCCTCGCCACCCATGTCCTGCTAACTAGCCCAGTCCTCCCCGTCTCTACGCTGAGCCAATAATAATAGTACTGGTACACAGTGCGGCGATCTTATTGCGCTCAACACATTGCGGTCTGAGCGGCAGTGCGGTCGGTACATACCGGCGTTCAAACCCACATTGAACTTTGATGAAGAGAAGTGAGAGCAATAAACCAACCAAACAGTTTGACTGCCACCCAAACCCCTTGTTTCACGTCCACCTTTTAATAAATTGTTGACCCCAAATATCACATCCCGTAGACACTAATAAAGTCCATGCTACCATCGACTTGGTATTTAGGGAACGCAACAGTATTCTAATGATAGGAAACCATAATATAAAAAGTTCCGGCTCATAAATGAGTTAGTCTTGATTACTTGCCTTTGGCTTGAAATTACACACGACTCTATGGGAGCGGTCTGTGACCACTACAACAGACTCGTGTGTAATATCATTCCTCAGCTGAGTAAGTCGGTTGAGTAAGGCTGAACGAATCTGAATAAAAGCACTTGCGCCATGATAGTTTTTTTATAGCGCAATCAAGGCTGCAGTCGTTGCGTGTGCAGGTTGTCTTTAATATTTGTAGTTGGTGTAGGCTACCGCTCGATCAGGAGCATGGCAAGATCTCTGGTGTTGGCTTGTGTATTTCTTGTCTGCCTCACAGTTTCGGTGTTGATTTACGAGGCCCTACGCCTCGATCTTCATGTTCGCACTCCCTTGCCAATTGGGTATCGGGTTGTTTCCCCTAATCGTCCCAATCTGCCCGTCACCCAAGATCAAACGTTGACGCTCACACTACGCATGGCAGCTGTACCTAAATTGATCCAGCGCATGTACTGTGACTTTTTACGATCTGCCGTGCTGTTCTGGTCACCAAAGCTGGGTCACATCAGCATGATACTAGACAAGGAATCGGCAGCCGATCACCGGTTGGCAGCTCGACTGAGTCAGCAAGAGCACGCGTTTGGCGTCAACTTTGATTTCATTTACGAGCCTCTCCCAAACGATATCTCGATCTTGGAAATTGAGAAAGATCGAGGGTACGGCCGCCAACTATGGAGCAGTTTCTTCATGGATTTGTACATCAACGCACCAATCATCGCTTGGACTGACACGGACGGGATGTTTACGACACCCGTCACCCCAGAAAATATCTTTAACGGTCATCGATTACGAGTTGTTACATTTTCCTACTGGAGCCTCTCCCGCATGCATGGCTGGGACACAACAACCAAACTTGCAACGGGCATGAATCTGGCGGCAGATTTCATGTCTTATTTCCCCGTCTATATCTGGAGAGATACAATAAGGAATTGTAGGAAGCACATTCTTGATCACATGAACGTAAGTGGAGAATTAACCTTTTTCGTCTGTGACTCTTTAAATGCATGGCCGTGATATCAGGAAATATACAAAGATGGAAAGCCTTTGTATATTTCCTGATATCAATGCCATGCATTTTTGTGTCCTCAAAATGCTCTGCGCTTTCTCCTTTTAAGTTACACTCCTACAGGAGCGTATTTTGAACTTTTGCTCTAGGAAAATTCTTTTATTAAGTGGATCCAATGTTTTGTAGTTGAAGTTAGTTTTCACTCCAATGGCATTGAAGTCATTTCGGGGAACATTTGTTGTATTGCCAAAAGGGAAGATCGTAACCACAACGATTTCTCTTGCAGGTGTCTAATTTTGCAGACGCCTTCAAAAAAATGAAGGTGAAAAACGCTAGGGTCAGCCCCGTCAACATTATTTTGAACTACGCTTACTACTTTGAACACGATCGTTATGATTGGCATCTGGACGTCAACAACAACCTGGAAGCCTACAACTCCAAACATGTTCAACCCGGTTTCGAAATCAAACCCAATGAGACAGTTCCAGATGTTCGAGTCACGGTGCATGCAGGAGTGCACTTCTTAATAAAGGGACCACATCCAATGCTGCAGGGATATTGTATCGCCAAGCGGTATGTTGGTACGCCGTCTGCTGCCTGCAAGCGGTTTGAAAATGTGACAAACTTTCAGCTGTTCGAATTTGTAGTGGCGAAACATCATACTCTCAACCACCTCGCCACTTGGTGCTCGCCTGAGGGTGATGGGCGCAAAGACTGCAGCCGACGGATTGAGGCGCATTACAAGAATGTTGGCAGGTATTACAACTTGGGATGGTTTGATCTAGATATGCGTCGAGTATCTGCTGTTGAGAAAGCAGCCGCGCTCGGGAATGTAACTTGTCCCAAAATATTTAGCTTTAATTGATTAATTCAGGAGCGACGTGGTTAATGGCGTGTAGACCGGTTCTCCCACCGAAGAGTTTGACTATTTACGAAAATCTTCAGATCTGGTTTAAACCTAACCGAAAAATAGTTGTCCTTTATATATGGCTCCTCTATTGTTGCTCTCTGTGAGTGGTTCCCCCTCTTTTAGAGTAGATTTATAAGAGACTCA